ACTCTTTCATAATTCAGTGAATTTAATTCGAGCATCATATATTCAACTTTTTTCGTCATATAATTCATTATGCATCGGTATTATAAGGTATGCGTATGATTTACATAATATCATATATAGAATCTTCATCCTTTCTAAACCTGATCAAATGAAAATTATTATTCCTACCGAAAGGATTTTGTGAAAATCTGTATAGACTACATCAAAAAAAACGAAGTCATCCTTTCATATTTCATGTGTATAATCTATTTATTATTTGATAATCTTTTTAATTTACAGATTTAAAAGAATTAACTTCAAATCAAAAACAGCTTGAAAGTTAATATTGCGATTTTAGTACATGTTAAGTAAAAAATATCTTAATAAATATTGAATATTATATTTGTCTTTTAATAAGATAAATTCATATAAGCATTAACTTATTTAGCTATTAAATGAAATTTTAAAAGAAAATATCTTTCAACAATGCTATATAATAAGTTTCTATTCTAAAAGTACATTTAGACTTTGTTTAATAGTTTGGGTAAAGCTACTTTAAAATCTTTCTATTCTTAAAATAACTTTTATTCTTTTTCTATCAAAGGTGTTTGTATTTTGTTATCAATAGGAAGTGTTGTATTATTTTCTACTATTGGCTTTTCAGTAGGATTTTTCACCTTGGTTATTAATGTTCTATTTTTCTTCTTTCGATGTTTCACACATAATAGGTCTTGGGGATTATAAGTGAGATTATCAAGACCTATGGGTGGACAACTCGAAATTCTCGAGTGAAATTTACGTCCACGTTGAATTAAATTTTTTGGCGATACAACCTTTCCCCAGAGGTCTATAGTTGGCAAATCATTGAAGTTTGGTAAATGACCGTCAGGTAACCCTTCTAATAGAGTATCCTCTTTCATCAATGGAAGGAGCCATAGGTCTTTTTTCTTTCCTGTGAAATGAAAGTGAACACCTTTCTCAGCATAATTAGTGGTAAAGCTGGTGGAATTTTCATAATTAGGATAAAGCATTACATATCCACGAAGATATGCAAGTTCTATAAAGAAACGTTTCCAAGATTTTGGCCAGTGATTTGATCTACTTGATGGAACAATTATTTTATGTCGACTAGGACCAAAAGCGCTAGTTAATCTAGCACTCTGATAATCATGAAATTCACGCCATATTTCAGGGAAAAATAAAGCACCCCAACTACAAGGTATTTGACTAAGATATGGAGATTGATTGGGATAATTTGTATTTTTCAAAACGTGAGCAGCGCTAAATGGTTTGCGACCAGATATTATTTCATTTAATTTTGTATCGTAAAGGCTTACACCAAGCATTCTACCAGATAAACTTCGA